AAAAAAAAAAAAACAATCGAGAATCGGTTACTGAAACAGCAGTTTTTTTGTTATTTTTTTAAAAATATTTGCTAATTTATTAGTTTGTCTTAAGCAAAGAAAGAACCAGAAAGAAGAACCATCAATAAGTGCTTTTCTTCACTGTTCTTTTTTTCGTTGTTTTGCACAAATACTAATATGTGTTGTTGCTTGCTGCAAAACTATTTGTTTCTTACAATTCTATAACGTCTTGAACAAAAATTTCCGTACTCCGTTTGCTCTTCGCCTCCTCCTTCCGTTAATTTACTATTTTATGAAAAATGTAAGCTCTTGAAATAGATCAAATTGAGAGAACAAAAAAAGATTGGTCGAATGAATTGGTCGTGTTTGTTGCTACTACTCTTTTCTTTGTGCTCTTTTGAATCGAGTTTTTTTTTTTTTATTTTTGCTTTTCTTTCACATACTTTTTTGCGTGAGTAACTTTCTGCAACAAAAATGCCCTCTATTTCCTTCTTCAACTTTTCGCATCACTTTTTCATTTGCCTTTCTTCTTTCCACTTCTGCTTTTTAACCATTTGCAAGTCTAACTTCAGTAGAAAAGCTGGCAATTCACAGCCGCCAACAAGGTGGACAAATCATTAAACAGATTTCTAATTTTTGCACAAACCTGCTTCATTTACCTCAGCAAAGTTGAGTAACGACGGATAACAAAAATTTTGCTGGGGGAGGTGAGATTAGGGAACGGAATAAGTTGGTGAAGGGCAGAGAGCAGAAAAAACATGGTATACAGCAAATCAAAATTTGTGTAAACGAATACACATTTGGATGTTCAAAGTTTCTGCTTGTCGGTATGGATAAAGATGAAATTTGGAAAAACCAGCAACAACTAAAAAGAAATAAAAATCTCATTTGCACTTCCTGCAACTGTATTTGGTCAGTAAATAAATTTAAAGGGTGGTGTAATTTGAGATCTAACTACTTTCGGGTTTGTCACCAATAACCGAATACATGTCTAATCTTTTCTTTTACAGATATATTTGTTAATTTATTGTTTCAGCTACTTTTTCAGACCATGATCACATTAGTGCCAACTAATCACTGGTTGATGGGATCACTTGTTTTCAAAAAAATCTATTAAATTCTTTTTGTTTATCTAGCATCTGTTACTCGACATCCACTTTATCATTATCATATATTTTTAACCAATATGATCTGCGATAATGTTTCTAGGTAATAATTGCTGAGAGGTTTCTGTTAACATTATTGGCAGAGGTAAGTTATGATGGTGAAGGTAGTGTTAAGGGCAGTATTAAGATTGCTTTTGTTAAAGTTGTTGTTGTTTCTACTATTACTGTTATTATTTCAAAGACACTGAGCATCTTATCCTTGAGACAGTGTTGGTGTTATCGCTGCTGCGGATGTTGTTGATTTTGCTGCTGTAAATTGGAGCAAATTACGGGCTAGATAACGACAACATAAATCACAGGAAAAGGAGGGAAGGCATTGTAGAGGAAGAGGAAGGAAGAGAAGGGATTAGGGAAGAACAGAAATGGAAAAATAAAAAAATGTATTTGTACATATTAAAAAGTTATTTTATTTCATTTCATTTTCAAGATATTGAAGAAAGAAAAAGAGAACTTTTATGTTCAGAGTGTTCTTTGGTCCGCCTGCTGCTTCAGCTTCTGAAATCAGAAGTTTAGTGCCAGTGAAGGTTTTGCGTTACGTCTCCGCCAATTTTTCCCGGCTGTCCGCTTTCTCCCTCCTTCCCCTTCCCTTTCCGGCCCTTTTTGGTTTTTGGTTGGCGTTGCAACCGATGGCCACGGAACAATTGTTTGTCAGTTTTCAACCAATCACCCCCCAAACGGTTCATCCATGAAACCTTTTCATTTTTCTGTGTTTCCCCTTCGTTCTCCATCCCGTTCTGTTTCTGTTTCTTTGTTCGCCGTTTTTCTAAAGGTAATACCACTTCCGTACTACACTCTTGCTCAAATTTTTTGCGATGAAAAGGAAAAAATTGAATTTTTAGACATTTGCTGTGCATACTAATATACTACACGTTTTTTAGATACATTTAAACATAAGTATGCACATGCAAACACATATACATACATTCACACAAATGCACTCACATAAATGCATATAGCGACATACAGGCGAACACCTTTCCTTGACGGGAAATGGCAAATAAAATAATGAAAAAAAATGCTCACTTTGTGCCACTTTTTTTTTTCAAATTCTTTTTTTTTTTTCATTTATTAGTTATTGGAATACCAGATTTTGCAGAAAAAAAAATTTTTTTATTTTCTGCTACTGTTGTAGTCATTGTTGTTTCGCCACCGCCGAAGTTAAGCAAAAAAAAAAAATTTTTTTTCTTTGAAATGAAGTTATTTAAAAATAACTTTTTATTCTTGCATAAACTTATCTTTTTCTCGGCTTCTAATTTTCATCTTCTTTGTTCTTGTCGCTTTGTCCATTTATTTGTTTATTTTTATGCCTATTTTTTTTCCAACTCTTTCTCAATTGTGCTGTCTTACTTCTGAGACTGCTGATTTTTTGACGTCCAAAAAGAGTAAAAAATTTTTTCTTTTTTTTCCGCTTTG